ATAATATTGGATGCAAATTTAAAAATCTTGTTGAACGGTGTAGCTATGTAAAATATGACAATTTTGGTGTTTATGTGGTTTTAGCTTAACACGTCCAGTAAGCTGGACGCGTTTGCTAATGCATTTAAATGATGCTTATAATAAGTTATAATATCGTAGCCTGTACTTGAAAGTCTAGACTGTTTCTGTGGTGGTAGGCTGATTGATGATGGGGAAAGTATTTTTTCATATTTGAAACACGAATACGGGGAGTACCCTTTGCATGTGCATTTATTAGTACACCCAGTTCTTGTTCTTTACTGCTGTGTTTAGTTAGTTGTAGTCGTATTTCTTATGTAAAAATGAGTGCAACAGCGAATTTAGCAGTTCCTGGGTAAGTACGACTACTGCTTTTTTTGAAACTGTACAAATAAAGGATTATGTGTTATGGTTAGCTCTAGTACGCGAAATACAAGGGCAAGAAATCAAGACCATATACAACTACGAAAAAGAAAGCTTACTGAACCTGAGTGACTGAACGATTTTTCCAGTGACGATAACCTTATAGATTGTGTAGACGAATCTACACATTTGGTGAGTTTGGCTTATCACTTAACGGGCCCTTCTACTGATGATGAAATAAACTCAAATGGTTCTACACCTCCTGCTACACCAGCTTTGCAGTCTGAGTCTGATAATGAGTCGGATTGGACTGACACGGAAACTGATTCCTTAGATATCGTTCACGGGGGTACCATCGTTTATATCTAATTTGGGCTATAATGCCAAACCTACTGACTATTTCAAATCATTCCTTGAAGATGATATAATAAATAAAGTTGCAACTGAAACAAATAATCGTGCCGGTTGTAGAAAATACCAGAAAAAAGTCTAGGATATGGAAAGATGTGACGCCACCTGAAATAACTAAATTCATTGAACTCTATCTTTTATTTGGAACTATACACTTTCCTCAGTTGTTAAAGCAATGGAGTACAAATTCTCTTTACTTCCACCCGGTTTTCGAAAAATGTATGTCCAAGAATAGGTTTTGCGATATCTCGAGATTTTTGCGATTTATAAATCATCGTGATGTAGATACGAAGGACCGTTTATATAAAACACGACTTATTTTGGAAAAAATTATTCAAAACATTCAGCAGTTGGTTTCTTCAATAAAACAAGTTTCTATAGACGAATCTATGATTCATTGGCCAGGACGCCTAAAATTTAGGCAGTATATTATGAACAAGAGGCATAAGTACGGAATAAAGCTGTATGAGCTTACCACACTTGATGATTTTGTTTTCAATATGCTTGTCTACATTGGAAAAGGTATTATAATAGATAGTAATCAAGTGCATTCCCACACGTTTTCACTCGTAACAGAGTTACTAAAAGACTATTTGAATAAAGGGTATGAAATATACCTTGATAATTATTACGCTAGAAACCGACTAACAAAATATTTGTTCAAAAGGAAGACGAAAAGAGAAGCTATATGAAAAAAAAAAAACAAGAAATTGGTGACTATGCTACAGGTCAATGGTGGATATATTAGGCCAACCACAGACCAACAATCAGAATTATTATCTGGAGACAGTTCCCTCCACACAGAAAGACAAATCCACGATGAAAAGGTGGAGTTTACGAGAAATCCAGATACAACTGCTCGATATGTCCAGAAAACCCTGGTTTATGCGTAGATCCATGCTTCAGAATTTGGCACGTTGCACAATAATTATATTTTGTAATATTTTGGGGTAGCCGTAGTATTCATTTGGGTTCGTATAGCACTTTACATTGTATTTAGAAAAAGAAAATAAAGACTTTGAAGAAATTCAGTTGTGTCCAGTTGACTGGAAGTTCAAATACTTGACTAGGTGTTTTTCTACACAAATTTTTTTTTGTACAGGGTGTCCAAATTTCGATGGGTTTGCAGGGTATCTCAGTTATTATGAAAGATAGAAAGTTGCGGCTTTCGCGAACCTGAACTACTTTTTTGTGAAACTTACAATGGCGCAAACCAAATTTTCATAGTCCGCTTCGTTTTTGATATACAGGGAGTGTTTGAAAGTTACGATTTTCAGACAGCTCCTGTATCTCGGCTATCCGGAAACTTTGTAAAAAAGTAAAAACGGGTTCTAATAGATTTTTTAGAATTTTTCTAGTCATCACGGTTTTTGAGTTATAAACACAACTCAAATACTGAATACTTAACTTCTAAAATACCTAACTCTTTATAACTCAAAAACCTTGATGACTAGAAAAATTCTACGTGCACCATTGGATTTTACGTGAAAAAATCTATTAGAACCCATTTTTACGTTTCCGGATAGCCGACACACAGGGGTGTCTGAAAATCGTAAATTTTGAAACACTCCCTGTATATCAAAAACGAAGAGGGCTATGAAAATTTGGTTTGCGATATTGTAAGTTTCACAAAAAAGTAGCTCAGGTTCGCGAAAGCCGCAGCTTTCTACCTTTCATAATAACTGAGATACCCTGCAAACCCATCGAAATTTGGACACCCTGTACATAGAGTACAAACAAAGCAAAATTCTTCGAAAGCAATATAAGTTGTTATGGGAATATTAGTACTGACAGCTGTCAAGAAGTACCAGCATCTATCTGCAGACAAATTGTTTGATAGATCCTACAGTACATTTCAATATACAGTATGTCCCCGGATCGAGTTACAAAGAGGAAAAAAATTTTTGTTACTGATTTTTCAAACTTATCTCAGCATAAATAATGCGTCGGATATGTTCAAACTACTAAATCGCATGAATTTTATACTCTAACTATAAAAGTTAAGTAATTATTCCAATTTTTATGTAAAAATTGGATTTTTTTCTAAATCGAAAATTTTTCAAGTTCAATTTATGATATGTAACCATAGAAAGCATAAAAGTTACAACTTATGTTGGTGAAATTAAGTATTTTCATGCGATGTTAACCGTGAGAGAGAGAATTTATTTAGTACTGTGCTATGGTACTAGTGAATCATGTTTTCGTGTAGTGATACAAAAATTCTAGCAAAAATATCCGAACACAAAAATACCCCATATGTTGGGGCTCGCAAATTTATGAAAAAATTTTTGGAAACGGGTTCTGTATAATCCATAAAGAGGCAAACAAAGAGACTAAATGAGGAAGACACTGCTTTTCAGATAGCTTTTCAACAAATGACATTGTTTCTTCCCAGCATTGTCGTTATAGGAGCGATGTAAATCCAATTACCCTTAAATTTTATACGGTTAATGTACTTTCAGCAAGACAGTTGCCCAGCTTATCATTCACACATTGTGCCAAATGGTTAAATTTACAATTTCGTCAAAAATGGATTGAATGAAATGGTCCTATTTGATGGCCAACACGTAGTCCCGACCTTACAATTATGGCTTTTTATTTTTGGGGACGATTGAAACAAATTGTTTACAGTGAATCATTACAAGATGATGCAGAACTATTAAAACCAAGAATAATTAAAGCGATAGAATCTCTACCACTGGCGGAAATTCGTACTTCTTATAAAGAATTTAGAACTCGTCTTCAAATGTGTGCCGAATTGGGAGGAAATTTGTTTGAATGAGGATTTGTTCACTTACAAATAAATAATATTTATTACTTACATAGTATTATATTACATAAATTTACATTTAAAATATTTTATTCAATTAGCCATATATTAATTTGATTTGTCCGTATATTTTTCACTAACATAAGTTGCAACTTTTATTTTATTTTATTGGTTTCTATGGTTAGATGTCGTAAATTGAACTTGAAAAATTTTTAATTTAGGAAATGTATAATTTTTACATAAAAATGGGAATAATTAGTTAACTTCTATAGTTGGAATATAAAGTTTGTGCGATTTAGTGGTTTGAACATATCCGACGCTTTATTTATGCTGAGATAAGTTTGAAAAATCAGTAATAAATTTTTTTTTCCTCTTTGTAACTCTATCCGGGGCCATACTGTATAGCAACAATAACGAAATAGAGATTTAAGTTTCTTATGTCATGTCTGGTCGTCACGAATAGTGTAGGCAATGTATATTTAAAACTATCGTGGATATTATACTCCTGTACAAATAAACCAACAAAATATGTTTTAGAATAAATTATTTATATCGTAAATGAAGAAACAAAAATAATTAATAAAACGAGTAAATATTTCTTTATAAAACAATTTTAATTAAAGATCATTTTTGAGTTAACAAGAGTAGTAACGTTGAAGATAGCTGAAATTATCGATTACTCCACCAGCTGGCGGAAACTTGAGGAGTACGATGGGTAGAAAATTCATTTGCATATATTCCAGCATTTAACCAGCCCAATTACATCTACAATGTCCGTATGCTCGGTTAATAGTTGATATTTCTCGATAACAGCACGTTAAGCAATTGCATTATATAATTGTTGAGAATATTTAAGTGAAATTAAAAGTTAAAAGATAAAAATAAAATTGAATGGTGAATAAATCTATTTTTAAAGACTAATTCATTAGCATAACCTGTAATGGCAGTAATTTCGCCTTGTTTTCTACGAGTCTTAATTGCACCTCGCAAAAGAATGCATTGTGATGGGATTTCACGTGGAGAAGAAAAGAAACCGGGCGAATAACGTGTTCTTGTACGAGTGAAATTGTTGAAATTGAAGAGAGAATCAGGTTATCCTAATTTGTCTTTCATGAATGAGAGTTTGGATTCTCTATTTTCTAGCCATTCTGAACGTGCTTCCTGGTATTATGGCTTCCATGGTTATAGAACTACTTGCTTAAACTACTCAATTTCTTGGTGAATATTATTTGCTCACAAAATAGCATGTTTGAGGGGCCTTCATTTCTTCAAAGGCTCGAGTTAACCGAGAACTTATACACGTCTTACGCAAAACTACCACAAAATAGGTTGTGTTAACAGCTTAGTTTCTATAACGTAAAGTTTAACTTGCGACCATAAACTTAAACTAAACCGCCATGTTAACTAAAATAGTATTTTTTAATAAATATTATCTTACCTGTTGCATTTTTTCAAAATCTAAAAACGGCCTAGGCATGTGTGCGTGTTTAGTATGACGAGATCTCTTCCTTGGCGACACTTCATAATGTAATTGTTTCGCAGGAGGGCTCATCGTTCTTATCCTGCTATTATTAGGCGTTCGCCCTCCAGGTTTTAAAGCTTCCAACGGTGGCGACGTCCTAAACTGAACGGGAGTGGCCATACTCGCCAAAAGATTGTGCACTTCCTCGTCGGAAGATCCCGAATGGACGGCCTCTTCGGTAACGACAGAAATTCCGGTCGAAGAGACACCGTAACACTTGCTGCAGCATGTCGACGGCGTCAAGTTACCAAACCTGCTAATGTTCTCTTCGTTCTCTGGCGTGCACCTGCAAGCGCACGTTTCGCCCACTTGCGACCACTTCCGCTTTTCCGGTTGGCAGTTTGATTTTAAGAGAGGTCGCGGGGAATTGTTGATTACCTCCAGTTCTTCTTCGGAACTATGAGGATCCTGGGGGTCTGGAGCCGGACTTTCCATTGAACAACCCGTATCTGCCGGTGATATGCTGCACACCCTTTCTAATGGTGCTGAAATATAAAGAAACATGACATTATAGAAATGCGATAAACGAAAATGTGTTAAGTTAGGTAATAATGGTTCAATATAAAAGTGAAAATTTTTTAAACCGTTGATTCTTTGTCAACTCCTCCAGCTATTTGTCTCATTTTCCACTCGGCTTGATTTATCAGATTATACACGCCCCGTTGTAAATTGCAAGGTGTCAGGCCAATAAATCTCATTAGACATGGTAAATCGCCTTATCCTTTTGCGGGATATAAAACGGTCACATATTGCACTCGTAATGCGAAAAGGGATTACCTCCGTTCCGGCATCGCGTTCCCTTTGGGGAGGCGCGTTCTGACGCCCGGCGCTCCCTCGATTTGCATCAACCTACCTACCACTGCCCTTCGTGGCCCTCCGACGATGGTGACACTTTAATCGTCAGACGCTTGGCAACGTTGTCTACTAGATTATTCTGACAACTCGATAGGAACGATATGAAACGTTGGAAAAGCTGGATTAAACCTTAAGATTTAAGATGCAACAGGATTATATGCATTTTACAGGAAACATTATTAACAATGTCCTTAAAATTCATTACCTTCCAGAATGTTCTTTCGAACTAGATTCTCTCAACTTAGTTAAGCAAAGTTAAAAATTTAAATATATCGGTAAAGCGCGCGTTCTAAAAAGCAGTAATTGGATTGCAAATAGTTTACATGATCCAAACGATCATTTACACAATTTCAATTTCATGGTAACTAATGGCGAATAAGAAGTTTTGAGCAAGAAGAGAAGGCGTTTGAATATTTAAAATTCGAGGTCACCGACCTCGGTCAGTTTTCCGTGACAACTAAACGTGCGACTAATGCAATCAACCACAAAATTATTATGTCCTGTCGCCGTTGCGGTAACTGCCGAATACTTAAAATTGCTTAAGAGCGCGAACTTAATTAGGAAATTCCTGGCTGTATCCGTCACTGGTGTAATTACAACCTGTGACGCCGCGCCGCCCGTAAAACATAAAAGAGCGTATAGGAGGAATTATTTACCTTTAAATGCCAATGATCGTAAAGCGTAAAAATTTTGCACGCCCGACTCATTAAAAATTCACGTTCATCGAACCGAGCGGCTTTTATTGGCCCTTTCCGTAGCCGTTCGGGAAAACGCCGTTTTACTGCAGTTTGTACGGTTTTAGACTAAGGTTGGGCACTTTACGGCGTAATATAATATGGGGGGTCGGAGTCCCCGGAGTCTTCCAACTTCGGCAATCGATCGACCCCCCCTTCCGGTAATTTCAATCGTACGTGTATTGTTTAGATCCACGTACATTCGAGGGGATTTCTGATCTACGCCAGTAAGCCGTCCCCGTGTGCTTCCAACAGAATGAACATCTGTTGCTGCGGATGACTTGGCCGAACTCGGCGCAATATAGAGAATTATTTCCCCGACACCCAAGCATCGCGCGTTTAGTAGTTACGTCTTTCAACTTCTTAAGCTCTCTCTCTCCCCCGTAACATAACTTAACTCTTTGATGCTGTTCATATATGATGGGATCCATCTAACTCCACTGTCTTGACTTCTTTATTTGATCGTCTTGACTTAATAGTTCCCGATGTAAATTGCAAATTGAGTGCAAAGCGGTTATTCAAATGTTAAAAATCAATTTGGATGGGAAGTCCGGTAGAGTTTGTGAAATAATTGTTCCCGAACTCTTTCGTGCGACTTGCTCGATTGAATATTCATAAAAGAGTGCCCAGAACGACGGCGCGACGACGAGGGTGAGCGCGCGGGGCTTTCTCTGCAAAGTTCACGGCATCGATTATAAAGCTCGTGGGCTGTTGCGCTAATGCACCCTACAGTTTTGAATAGCGAAGATCTGAAAGCAAATGCTTAAACTCTTTGCATTTCAGTAATACTTTCTCTTGTAAGAAAACTCTAACTTAAATAAAAGTTAAAAGATATACTCAATAAACAAAAAGATGTATACCAAAAATAATATACATATAACAATCTATATTCTTAAAATAGTAATTGATATGCAAGGGTCTATAAAATTTTTTAAGTGTTACATTTAATTGGCGTCAAATAATGTAGCGATTCGGCCCAAAACGACTTTGGATAAATAAAGTGATCTATGATGTCACCTCATAAAGCCAAGCTCGCTTGCTGCTGAGACGCTATAATTAATAACATATCAATACAAAATACTGGAAAATATACTGTGTAGTGTCTTGGCTAAATAGATTGAAATGTATGATGTCATCCAATTAAGGTCGCTTACGGCCGAGACGCTACAATTACTAATACAGTACACTTTCGATTATTTACATTGAACGTCGTATAGTGTAAACAGCGTGAGTGCGGGAAGTTAGCCCCCATTTTTTGATTTTTAAATTTTTAATTGTTGTTCTAGATTGTTCTAGAGTTGTTCTACATTGTTCCAAAGCGGCAAATCGAAAAAATAAAAACTCCGCGAGAAAACCGAATAAACAGGTTTTTTGACTAGCCCCCCATTTTTGGAAAAATCAAATTTTTGTTGTTGTTCTGGGTTGTTCTAGTAGTTCTTGTGTCAGCGGTTTTATATTACACAATAAGAATTAAAAAACATAGAACAATCTAAAATAACACAAACTTTGCCGATTCAAATTGTTCCAACACGGAGATTAATTTTGCAAAATCACATATTTTTTGTTGCTATAAATTGTTCTTGTTGTTCTAATTACTTAAAATGTTTATTTAATCACTGCGGCATTAGTTCTTTTAAAGTTTCATATTAGAAATTAGTACTTATTTTTTGCTTTTTTCTGTATATTATTATTTTTTTTTGTTGTATAGGTTGGTTAGAACAGACTAAAGTCTGGAACCCGCCTTTTGTGCCCTTTTGTTTTTAATTCATGTATTTTTTTGTTTTTTTTTCTTTTCTTAAATATGTAGAGTCTTATGGTGCACAATAAAGTTTATTATTATTATTATTATTATTACAACAATTAAAACAATTCAGAACAGCTGTTATTTTCACTAGAAAAACCTTAAATTTGAGTTGTTGTGATATCGGACAGGTTTTGTTCAATCAGTGAACCTAACCTTTAATATAATAATAGTTTTATATAATCTGACCATCTAATTTCCTAAAAATCACCTTTCTCTTTAAACTTATAATAATAAAACATAAGTTGCGATTTAAAGTGTATTTTATTTTGTAAAACAAAGTAATAAATTAATAAATAAAAGTAGGTTGGGCTGCCAAAATGTCTAGTTGATTGCTGTGACCATAGTTTTTCTATTTTCAGTTCCATATCACAAATATATACTTATTATACCTAAGCAATCTGGAACAGCTAATATTTTCACTAGAACAACTCTATAAAGAACACTTTACTCTTTGAAAATTAAAATTTTTGGAAGTTTCAGTTAGTAATTCTTTCATAAGTTCATAAGTAAGTTTCATTAATATCTATTTCAATAAAAAATATATTGTTCAAAATACTTGCGGATTCGACAGTATATTTCATAGTTTAGCATTTGCCCGTACACACAATTCATTTAGAAATCATGTTGAGAATGTTTGCACAGATTGCTTTAGTTTCCTAAAATTATTTTTAAAAACCGGTTCTAGTAAAGCAACATATAAAAAAAGAGCTGAACTATTAACAGGAATAAATTATTTTGGAAGCCAGAATATTGCTGGTGTGATAATAGTGAATGCTATTTCAAATATTGCGTTTCTTTGC